TAAACTATATCATCCTCTTCTCAATACCCTTAACTTTTCTTATTCATTTTCCAAATTTACTAAACCCAAAGATACATGGTTAAAGAATAATTCCCCCCTTTCAATGCAACATTCCCAACAGTTTTCCTGCTACCTTCTACCCTTTCTTTGCTAATTTAAACAGTGAAGCGTGATGTGCATATTTGCTTTATTTTCTTACTGATGAATGACAGCAATTTGACTCCTAAGTAGCCTGTGTTAAAGGACAGTACTTTTTCCTGTCTAAACTGTGTTCAATTTTCTCTAATTTTGGTGTTTTAAGAAACAAGTTTATTACTGGACTAGGAAGATAAACTGCTGTTTTAAATTGAATATTAGAAGGTCTCAGTCATTCCCAAACACTAACTTTGGCTGAATTAACCATTTGGTTTTGTTCTAAGCAGAGAATTATCTGTATTAAAGGAAAATCCATTTACAGTTTTCAGACAATTTTTTTTTTTTTTGAAACTGTATTGATGTGCTCACTGCTCCCATGTAATATTATCCTAATAATGTGGGGTTTTCTCCACTCTGTGTATTTTAATAATAATTTATGGTGTCACTAAATCAATTTGTTTATAACCATGTATAGATAATGACTTGCTTTGTTCCACCCAAAAGAGTTAAATAGAGATTCTGTATAGAAAAGGTATTCCTTGTTCCATAGGCAGTACTGAGTCTGCAGTTTCACTGAAAAAAAAAAAAAAGTTAAAGTTAAGACTAATTCATTTAGAATTAATTTATTGAAGACAGAAGAAACCTTTTATATCATCTCATCTACGTAATTCTATAGAATTCTGTCTGAATTTACCAAGAGGTACATAGCCAATCTAGTCATAAGTTATTAAACCAACAAAATATTTGAACATGACCAATGAATAAGAAATTGTACTCTTCACTGGGTGAAAAAATGGCTGGATGACCTAGCCCAGAGAGTTGTGATAAATGAGGTCAAATCCTGTGGTGTCCCTCAGGGCTCATTTTGGAGCCACTCTTCTTAAATACCTTTAGCAATGATCTGCGTGAGAGGATTGAGTGAATTCTCAGTAAGTTTACAGATTACACCAATTTGAGTGAAAGTGTTGATCTGCTAGAGGGTAGGAAGCCTCTGCAGAGGGACCTGGGCAGGATGGATTGATGGACTGAGGCCAGTTGTATGAGGTTTAATAAGGCCAAGTGCCTAGCACTGCATTTCAGTCACAGCAACCCTAAGCAATGCTATAGGCTTGAGGAAGAGTGGCTGGAAAGCTGCCCAGCTGGGGGCGCTGGTTGATAGCCGGCTTAACATGAGCCAGAGTGTGCCCAGGTGGCCAGGAAGGCCAATAGCATCCTCGCCTGTATCAGAAATCATCATGTCCCAGTACTCGGCATTGGTGAGGCCACACCTCAAGTACTGTGTTTATTTCTGGGCCACTCACTACAAGAAGGACATTTCGTTCCTGGAGCATGTCTAGAGAAGAGCTATGAAGCTGGTGAAAGGTCTAGAGAACAAGTCATACAAGGAGTGGCTGAGGGAACAGGGGATGTTTGGTTTGGAAAGAGGAGGCTGAGGTGAGACCTCATTGCCCTGTACAACTTCATTAAAGGAGGTTATAGTGATGTGGGTGTCTGCCTCTTCTCCCTAGTAAAAAATGACAGGACCAGATGGCCTGAAGTTGTAGCAGGGAAGGTTCAAATTGCATGTTAGAAAGAATTTTTATACAGAAAAGAGTGGTCAAGCACTGGAACAGCCTGCCCAGAGAGGTGGTTGAGTCACCATTCTTGGAGGTATTCAAGAAACATGCATATACGACACTTTGGGGTCAGATGTGGCCAAGACTGCAGAGTTTTTTTGTAGGTGTTTTTTGGTGGAGTGTGTGTGGTTGTTTGTGTTTGTTTGGGGTTTTTATGTTCATGGTTGTACTTGGCGATCTCAGAGGTCCTTTCCAACCATGATGATTCTGTGATTCTGAAATTAAAATCTCTAACCTGTTTAGTATTGTGAAGCTGACATACACTGAAGGACAAGGCATAAAGTTAGCAATCTTTGGAGTAGTCAACCTGCTGCTTAGTTTCTACATGAAATGGAAAGATACTAGACATAAAGCTTTGAGCATCTCTAATGTGTGCACGCAGTAAAGGACAGTGTGAAGGAAATTATAAATCTAAAAAAATACCTGCTAGCATGGTACCAACAACTTCATAGCATGTGAAAAGAGCTGAATGGAAAATGCTTTAAAATGTACATTTTTTTTGGAAGATGAATGTACTGTTTGATGTGAGCTCATGTGAATTAAGATTCTAAAAGCACAGATAACTTCAAATTAGGGGAAATCCTATATCATATAATTTAATGTCATGATTTCATTCAAAACAAAACTTTATTTTTAATAAATTTGCATACTAAGATAATGGAAAATATTGGGATATTTCTTCTTCACTATAGAGTGTTATCATTATGTAGCAAATATTCCAGTAAATCATGGAGATTTGAGAATGGAAATGCTTTTGCTGTTGTAAAGCAGTCCTAAGTTTTAATTTGTATCCTTATTAATCATACACATTATTATAAATTATTATAATTAAATATATTAAGGGTATTGGAGGTATTTGAAACACTCTAAATAAGGAGTCCAGTTCTCATTGTCTGTATTCATGCTGAATTAAGATTAGATTGTGACCTAAAACACAGTATTTTGGTAAAGTTTCTCAGAACTGGACCTTTGAGTCAGCTTTTTTCTTTCTTCCTCATGGGTAATTATTAACAGAAGTCAGTATCCATAGAAGTTCCTTTTTCCATAATCCACGTTGCAGCTCCAGCTTATGGCATGCTCATGTTGTCAGACAGCTTATCAATAGGTGGGAAGTTGAGCTTCATAGCTTCCTTGAACTTGGACTACATTGCAGGACATAGTTGATTTCCAAACAATAGACAAAGATAATCCGGAACTTGAACATATGCTTTTGGATAACTAAACTGATTTAATTTTGTCCTGGTTTGAGCCAGGATTAAGACAATTTTTCTTTTTACTGATTTTTTTTTCCTTCAGTAAGCTTTCTTCTAACTAACAACAGTGTGTTCTGCTAGGCTGATAAGACAGTGGAATGTTTTCTAACTACTGAGGCTTCAAGGCTGCACCTTCACTCTGCCAGTTCAGACACTATGGGGAGATCTGTGACCCCCCCGTAGGAGGCTGAGTTAGACAGACAGCAAAATTGGCCAAAGATATTTCATTCCATATATCTACGTAAGCTCTGAGGAAGGTCAGAGATCACAGAAGACAACTTCCTTCCTTCTTTTTCTGCCTTTCTCTTCCGTCCATGGCCGGCGTCCAGGGAGGACTCTGTTCATCCATCACTGTCGATCCTCAGGCTCGAGATCTCCTGACCCCCATAACTCTCTGCTCTTTTCCAGCAGCAGCTCCGGGATTCCTCGGAACTCTTCCCAGTTCAGGGAAGTGCTGTGGGAGTTGCTGGGGTGGGGGGAGGCGAGAGGCTTTTTGCCCACACCTGAATATATCTGTATATAATTGTATATATTTTCTTGTATCATTCATTAGTATTTTAATTAAAGCTGTGTAGTTTAGTTTTCAATCCAGCCAAGTCTCTCTCTTTTTCTCTCTCTCCCTCCTTACTTGGGTGGGAGGGGGAGGGGATCGAGAGCATTGTTGTCGGACCTGAGTCAAACTGTGACAAATTTAAATTCAAACTTCAGCTATTTTCAAAGCTTCATTTAAAAATAGAGTATTATTTTTAGGTATGTCAACAAGTGGGATTTTGTTTACCAATAACACCATATTGCCACACTTTAAAAAAATCCTTCCTAAGATATTTATTCCTCCTTAGCAGTAGCACTGGGATATTAAGACCAAGAACCTTGGGGAAAAATGTTGGGGAAAAAAAGAAGAGAAAATACCTTAAGTGTGTTATTGACAGGAATGATTGAGCTCTGGAATACTTGCCTAATGAGGCTGAGGACTGAGGTTTCTTGGTATTTTGAAGTTATTTTTTACCTTTTTAATGTTCATTTTACTTACATGCATTTTTAACATGACTTCTGAGATATAGTGACTTACCACAAATAGGCCATCAACACAACACGAAGTCTGTTTTACAACAATCAAAAGAAATGCATAATTTCTCATTGCTAGAGTATCCTTGACACTAAGTGTTATTTGAGTTACGACCAAACTTCAGCTAAAATGGGTAATGTTCAGATTTTCTGACTTACATCAAAGTGTTTAAAACTTTTAGCTATACATCAGGAAAAATAAAAATAACAATGCTATCAAAGTTTAATTACATTTAACAAAAAATTGTGTCCCATAAATGGCCAAAATTGGCTGTAAATGTATGTCTTATTATTATAAAAAAAAAAATTAGAAATTTTACATAACTTTCAGAAGATTAATGTAAAGATATAAGATAAATAACAACCTAACAAACAAATTTTCCTCCCTTAAGTAATAATTTGGACCACATGCTAGTAATGTAGTTTGCCAGTTTCTGTCTTTCCATATGGAATCTCCATTTATCCCTATTTCCTTACAGAAGTATGTACAATGACATTTGTATGTTTATATGGTTTTTTTGTCCTGTGAGAGAAAAGAGATTATTATGTTATCATTGCCTTTTTAAGAAACAAAACCAATTTAACTTCTGTTTTAGGAGTAGACACAAATATATATCCAAAGCTGTCTACATTTTATCCTAGAAAATCACATAAAGATTTTTGTTTCAGACAGGAGGAATCCTCTACATGAAAATTCATAAGTTCATAAATTCCTGAATGCATAATTTTACCACCAAATAACTTAGTGTACATGGCAAAGTGAACTCTTCGAGATGCTTTTACTTTCCTATTCTCCTTAAAACAACAAACATAATTCTCTCCAGCCACAGCTCACAACATGTATTTTCAACACATTGTGCACAGGTACAAAAATGCTTAAAAAGAAAGTTGTAAAAAAAATAGCATCGATCACCCAATAAAATACACTCACCCTCTCTTTTATTAAGCCTTGCAAATCCAGGGCTGTGACTGCTAGACATCTCGGATGAACTGCTGAATGATGACTGAGGTAAAGAAGACACCAACTGATCATCACAATTATCTGCCAGTGAAAAATATCATTTTCAGGTTAATACAATGAACACCACTTACTGGAACTGTAACCAAAAAGAACACTAGAAAAATATTTGCATCAACCCTGTACCTGAAAGCAGCAGTATGTCTCAGAATGTTTCTTCTTGCAGTACCATACATAAAGTGCTGAGGAGCACTTATTTTTTTGTCCCCTCTTTTTTTTTTTTTTTTTTTTTTTTTTAAATAAAATATTTCATGCAACTACCAGGGTATGATTTATTATTTGATTTATTAATGTATTATATTCTTCAACTGGTGATACTTGTCCACTTCTAACAATACTTCTGAGATTACACTGATAAATGGTTCACTACTCACTCAATATCCTTTACATGGATAGCAACTGATGTCTTCTAGTCCTGTTTGTAGTATGACAGTAAAACTTCAGCATATGCTCTTTATTTTCTGCAGACCTAATGCCAGCACAGGTCTGTGCAAACATACTTAGAATGCACTCCTGTTAAGCACAGCTATTTCTTTTTAAAAACCCAAACAAACAAGAAAACATTAAAAACCCCAACTAAACAATTAAAATTGAATACAAAATAATTTTTTCCCTTTTAAGGACTGTAAAAATTACAACATTGAAAAACCTTTTGCTTTGCCAATGGTATTCATGCTTGATAAAGCCACAGCACAAAAACGTAATCAGACAGTTATTAGTATGGAAGTCCTAACATCATACAGAATGAAGCCCTAGTGTTTCAGAAAAAGACAATAGCAGCTCACAATCAATGGTGCATAAGCAAGCAATTACTAATCAATGCTTTGGATGTTAAAGGCCTCTCCAGCTCAATTGCTACACAGGGCATTCTCCATTTAACTTTGCAAAATGTAAATTGAGAATCAATACCTGTTTTAGTTTTAGCTGAGAGAAGACTAACTTTAAGACACCAGAAAAAGTGTAAGCAAATCTTCCCCTAGCTGCATTGTGCAGCACCTGTTTTTTGAAAAATGAGAGGAAATTATGCAGATTCTTAATCTTTAGGAAATAGTTCTTTTTAGGCAAAAAATATTTGTCTTTTAGGACAATCACTTTCTCTGGATGCAACACTTACATGACAAGTCACGAGTGATTCCTTCTTCTAACTTTTCTGTTTGTTTGCTGGATTTCCACTGTCAAAATCATTAATAATAATTAATACAAAATCTCTCTGACTCAAGGATAATTGTTTCTTCTGAATAATTATAGATCATATGAGTATCTCAAAAGGATTTTATTATCACTTTCAAAAAATTTTTTTTAAGAATTGGTTAATTTGGTTCTTTAAGCAAAAGTCTTCATAAAGAGAAGGTCTGATACTGACCAGGAATGCGAAAGCTAGAAGTTCTCTCAAATTCCATATAATATCCAGCCGGTACAACCAAGAGGATGCATTAGTTGCTCTTGATAGCAAGACATACCATACTTTTACCAAATTTGGAGTTCTTCACTTATGTGAAAGGAACAAACAAAATTATTATGTACTTTCTTATTTCCTGCTTGTAGCCTTTATAATACAAACTGGAAATTTTATAAGTACTCTTGATTGTTACTATTCACTTTATTATCCATCAATTAGATGTATAATGGTGGAAAAGGCTGTGCTACTTGGGACAAATTGCCAGCTGGTAAGCATAGAAAAAAGAAAGAAAACAAAGAAAAAACTTGAAGAGAAACAAGATGTCATCTTATGAGAAAATACATTGCACTGGTAAGTCTTAGAAAAGGATCTCATTAGGGAAGAATTTCTTTGCAGCACAGAAAATAAAAAGAACTTATTTGCTGTAAATTGCACCAGAAAGAGAAAAGTATGATGATGTTGTGTTTCACAGAGTCACTTACACTGCTGATGCAATGAAGCACTTCAAGTGCCACTGATCCTTTTTCTACTGTGAATGCCAATATTGTAAGACTAGATACCACAACAAAAATTAGGAATAGAGAACAGAAAGGCATTTTCACTGCAATTATATACAGATTATCTAGAATCACAAAACAAAAAAATCATTTGGGTTGGAAAGGATCTTTGAAGCTTTTCTAGCCCAATTCCTCTGCAATGATCAGGGACATCTTTAACTAGATCACTGCAATAGGCAATCTGTTCCAGTGTTTCACCACCCTCATCATTAAAAAAAATAAAAATAAAAAAAATCTTCCTTATATCTAGTCTGAAACTACCCTCTTTTAGTTTACAACCGTTATCCCTTGTCTTATCACTATAGGCCCTGCTATAAAGATTGTCCCTATCTCTCTTATAAGCCCCTTTTGTGTACTGAAAGGTCACAACAAGGTCTCCCCTGAGTCTTCTCTTCTGCAGGCTGAGAACACCCATCTCTTAGCCTTTCTTCATAGCAGACTGGCTCCAACCCTCAGCTCGTTTTTGTAGCCCTCCTCTGGACTCAGTCCAAGATCTCCATGTCTTTCTTGTACTGAGCACTCCAAAGTCAGACACAGCACTCCAGGTGAGGTCTCACCAGAGGAGTAGAGGGGGAGAATCACCATCTCCTTTGACCTGCTGATAATGCTACTTCTGGTGCAGCCTAGCTTGACTTTCTGGGCTCTGAAAGCACATTTTCAGATCATGTCCAGCTTTTCATCCACCAGTACCTCCAAGTCTTTCTCCACAGGACTGCTCTTAATCTCTTCATCCCTCAGCCTGTATTGATACTGGGGATGAGGTTGATCCAGGTGGAGGACCTTGTGCCTGGTGTTGTTGAACTTCATGAAGTTCCTGTGTGCCTACTTCTTGAGCTTGTGCAGGTGCCTCTGGATGGCATCCTGTCCCTGAGTCGTGTCAGCTGCACCACAAATCTTCATCTAGCCTGCAAATTTGCCAACGGTACATTTGATCCCACTGTCTATTTCACTGATGAAGATAATACTAAACAGTTCTTGCCTCAGTACAGACCCTTGAGGGACATCACTTAACACTGATCTCCATCTGAACAGTGAATCATTAATCAGTATGCTCTGGATGCAATACTCCAACCAATTCCTCATCCACTGAACTTTGTCTGACCAATTTCCCTCAGGACCACAAACTTCAACAGTGCATAATCACTGCAGCCAGGGCTGCCTCTGATCTTGATATCACTGATTGGCTCATTTGAGTTGATGGCCATCAGGTCCAGTATCAAATTGCCTCTGGTAGGGCTGTCTATTACCCAACTTCAGAAGTTATATATCCTCAATGCACTGCAGGAGTCTTCCAGATTGCCAACAGCTTGCTGTATTACTTTTCCAGCAGATATCAGAGTCATTCAAGTCCCCCAGCATGACAAGAGCCTGCAAGCATGATGAAAGTAAGAAGGCTTTGTCAATAGGCTCCCCTTGATTGGGTGACACCGACCACAAAGTTCACTTTGTTGCCTCATTCTCTAATTAATACCCATAAGCTTTCAGCCTGCTCATGGCTATTCTTCAGAAACAGCTCTTCATATTCTATCCATTTATTGATGTAGAATGCAATGATTCCGTCCTTCCTTCCTCACCTGTCAATTCTGAACAGCCTGTAGCTATCAATATCCACACTCTAGTCATGGCGTTTCGTTAATGGCAACTAGCTCTGTAGCAAATGTCAGAGTCCAATTCTTGGTTATTACAAGTTGACATGGAATAAGGATTCTGTTAACAATTATCTGAACAGTGGTTTCCAGCTTGTCCAGTTTGTTGCTCATACTCTGTGTATTGGTGTAGAAGCAAGTGACCTGAACTGTCAGCTGTCTCACATTCTTAGAGGAATATCACTTAATTCCTTAGAGACAATTTACTGGTGATTCCTTGTTGGCTCTTGTTACCTTAAAAGACATTGGCTCATCTCCATAAAACTTCAGTTGTACTCCACTGTAGCTAGCACATCTCAGTTTAACAGACTGAGCATCTTCATTAACACTCTGTCCCTCTAGCCTTGGCCTGTCATCCCACAGCTTGCCATGGGCAAGCCTTATATTACCCTTCTGATAGGCTTTGAAATATTGCCAGAAGAAATCATTGAACACCTATATCGTATTTATCCTATACTGATCTATATGTATCTCAATTTATAATAGAAAAGTACATAAATTTTAATATATACAAGATGTTATCCAAAATCCAACAGTGCAAGACATTTTTTGCCATTACCCAGTAGTGATTGAAGAGAAATGAGCAATGTATCACAAATACATATAATCTTGTATGTGTTTTACAACAGCTCAAAAGCTGCTGTGCTTTGTTTCAGGAAAATAAATTCATATCCATCCAAAATATTTTGTGGAAATTGGCAGAAACCAGATTACTTGTTTCTAAAATCTAAGAAAAGCAAATTATTTCACCTATAGTGGTGAATGAAACACTGTCTGAATTGGGTGGTTTTCCATGTTAGTGATCAGGTCTTCATTTCTCTTGAATGCCCTTCCGCTGTACAGCAGAAGAAATCTCACTACTGCAGGTGATGTATGCATTTCTAGGGATATTTATCATAGCTTCTCCAGGCTAAATGAATATTTATTTAGTCTATTCTAGTATGAGTTTTAGAAATAGGAATTTTAGTTAAAAGCTATGCATCATATAGCTTTATATTAGATTTTTTTTCTTTTTTAAAAAAATATCTAAGGATGTGAAAAATGTAAACAAGTGTAGTTTTCTGTAATACGAACAAAAATCTAGTATCAAATAAGGCTTCATAAAGGAAAAATTGCATATTTAATTGTGTGATGCTGATGTAGAGACCTTTTCAGCTCAGGCCTACAGACTCACTGTACAGTATCTGTACAATGTCTAGGGTGAGGAATAATTGTGAAACGGTAGGATTGGCTAATGAGGTATATTGACATAAGCTGGAACAGTTTAAAAAACAACATCTAAAATGAGTAGTATTCAGTAGGATAGAAAGGCTTCTGGGAATAAGGGAAAAGCAGAAGTGTAACTCATTGAAAAAAGAAAGCTAGAATGTATGAATAACAGGCAGGATATATAAAGAAAAGCTTATTACTGGTTTCATCATTTAAGGTATGACTTCTCATACTTCATAATGTAAGTGCAGATTTAATACAGGTTATAAAGCAATTGAGGCATTTTATAAGAATAAAATATTAAGTGTTGCATGTACAAAGAATGACTATCATTTCTCTTCCATAATGACATAAATTCATAGTAGAATGCTGGGTCAAGCTGAGATTTATTTCTTCAGGTTAAGTGTATATTTTTATTTCCTTGTACTGAAATGTCATTTACAGGCACAAACCTTTTTTTCTTTTGCAATACAGAGAATGTATGGCTCTGATTTTAGTTTGAAAGTAACTGTCTGACTGATGTTTGTATTCTAAATTTTCAGCTTGTTCCATAATATAGATTCACACATATTCACACATTTCAACTAGAGTGCAAATTTATACTATATAAGCAAATGTCGGAGTCCAATTCTTGGTTATTACAAGTTGACATGGAATAAGAATTCTGTTAACAATTATCTGAAAAGTACATGTATTACATTGAGACAACCACTTTATTCAAGACATATATTAATTCAAACTGAAACATCCCAA